CACACACACACACACACACACACACATATATATATATATATGAATTTGAACGGATTGTGTTTTTGGCCTCTAGGGACCTCAAAATGAAAAAAAATCGGTCCGCGTCCAGGTCTTACCATGAGTACTGCGGTAATAGCTTATTCCCTATATGGGAAATTCGCTAAAATATAAACTTGAAAATAATTCAATTTAAAAATAAAACAACGTTAATCATTCATAATTAATAATCATTCAAATTGTGAACGGTTTTTAGTTTCAATTACTAAAACTTTCCCAAATTTTCCTAAACTTTCCTAAATTGTCAGTTGTATGAACTGACCAGTGGAACCTAAGCTGCATTACGCGCAAACCTTTTGCTTTGAGAACAAAATTCCTGGATTGTGGAAGGTAAAACAACTAACAGAGTGGAAAGATCAAAGACATGTTGGAGAGAAAGAATTGTTTGTTCTCCTCCAATTACACCCGCCCCTGTGGAAAGTATTGTTCAGTGAGGCCCAGATAAGTCTATTTTGTAATGTGTGTTACTATTGTAATTTCGTACTACACATATCTATACAAAAATGAAATAAAAATACGCCCAATAACGCTTGAGTACCTATACGATTAATAGTTTTATGGTTTTCAATTATGTTTTATGATTATTTTTAAGATCCACCTTTACGCCCTAGGACGCTAGGCTCTAACATATTTTACACATTACTTCATTCGGAAATTATAAAGTCGCAGGATTATCTATGGAAAAGTTTCATTAGTGATTAGTGGAATGCGAACCCTAGACCTCAAGAGTCGAAGCCCCGTGCTCTACCACTAGACTAGTTCACTTACACAAACTCTCTGGCTGAGGCTACCAGGGAAGCTGAAGAAAAACAAAATTATTCATAAATAAAATTAGTTCGAAATATTTTATTTGTTGAATAATTAATCATTAGACATCAATAAACCATTAAATCATACGTCACGGTAATATCAAGGTAGTGAAATTAAAACAACAACTAACAAAAAAATAAATACAAAACTCATCTAAATATCAATAAATTTTAAAGTATATACATTTATGATGATTAACGACACATTTTCATAACTAATTGAATTCGGGTGGATTTCATACATATTTCATACCATTATTGCATTAGTACCTCTACCACTAACTATAAACCTAACACTAACACTAACTATAAACTAAACAAAACACCAACACAAACACTAACTATAAACTGTAACTATAAACACCTAACACTAACTATAAACCTTTAAATAATACAAAACTTTATGTTTAGTATTCGTAAAAAGGACAAACTATACAAAATTACAATAATGAGATACCTTGACCCTATCTTGACGTGTATCGATTGGCAATACTTCTTCATCAGTCTTTGTTCTGTTGGTACTTTTCACAACTATTAATGAATTTTCACCTTATAATTTTGTTTAGCCAAATATATTAGTTTCTGTTCGTGTTCTTAGCGACATATGATTTAAATTTGACCTTTATCTGCAAGGCTCTACACACCTTCCCTAGAAGATGTTCTTATAACGTATAATGTATATATCCATCAAGCTAAGCGCCTTTTCCCGCCAAATTAAGCGCAGTTTGAATGTTATTGTCGCCATTCCCGCGCTACGTGGCCACTCATTTCCCCAGTGGCATTTACACTGGAACATCCAATTACATTTAGCAGTGTTAACTAAATTCCTGGCTGATAAGAAACATTTTACTTTTGCTACTGTTTGCTTAAAAAAGTTTTTTCAAATAAATCTTTTCTTACGGCACTACAAATTAAATTAAATGCTAATAAGAAATTTCTAAAAAGTAAAAAAAAATCTGGTCCTATGGTTAATATAGATAAGAATGCCGATTTAAAAAGAAATCACACTGATGGTGATCTTAGTAATATTTACGCAACGATACTTTACGAATATTTAATCACGAATAACATAAATTCTTCAAAATTAATTTTATTATATCAATACTTCATCTATGACATTACAATGAGTATATATGGCTATTAACAGATTAGAGAACACGTGGATTAGAAAATGAGATAACAAAAGGAAAGTAAATTAGAAGATTTATGACACTAAACAGCTGGCAATTGATATTCACAGCTGATTGATGTTGAGGTTTAACTTATTATCACTGCAACACATGTGATTAAATACCTGAGGAACAATAATTTACTGTAGGGGCCTAATTACAATTAAAATATTTAAATAAATCAAAGTTCTACTGGTATTTTTACGGCATAGAAGTTGCAGCGAAGAAAACACGTTCGATATGCATATATTTGTATCCCCCTTGATCAGAGATTATGATAATAATAATAATGATATTAATAATAGTGATTGACTTAATATACTCTTGCAAAGTGTACAACGACGATTTTCCGCCTAGGCGTACCTTAACGTAGGTTATTGTTGTTGTCACATTAAGACTATAAACTATCAAATGTTACTTTTTTTGTTTAGAGAAGAGCTATGGACATTGAACTATTGATTCAAAATATTCATGTTGATAATACAGTACAAGTTGCCCCGCAAATAAACAGCCAAACTCAAGCTCTGGGAAATGGTTATTGGGTCAAAATAAAGAGATAATCAAGAATTAATTGTTTTCCAAAATTCATCATTAACCAGGTGCCATATTTTACAACTAAATCTTTTCATAAAATCAGCTATTTGTGTAATTTAAATAAAAACTAATATGGATGCCATTTCGAAATCAAGGATTGGACAAGATAAATTCCTAAATTAGGCTTCTTCTACCTTAACTTTCATACCAAGTTTTATAAAGATAAATTGGAAAAATCAAAATATAAAATTTGTATGTAAGAGGAAAACATTTCAATTCTTATTTTCTCTTTATTTCGACCCATATAACTACTTCCCGGAGTTAAACAGTGTAATTAAGGGACACACTGTAAACATTTTTATATGGTATATTATTAATTATTTACTTAACCTTAACTAGTAGTGGTTCTAAAATTTCTTTCCGATAGATAATACCGTTTTAGTACGGCATTCACCAAGTAGTAACTTGAAGAAGTGGTATTTTCCAGTTAAAACCCTCAACTTCGCCATAACCCTTAAACTATAAACCATAAACATTCTAATAAATCGCCTAAACTTTATTCGTGTAACAAAACTGATGCCATACCATAAACCCATCCGTTATTTGCTATGCTTTTGTGGACTTGTTAGAATTATCTTAAACACAAACGTCCTATTTAAACACAACACAATTTCGGCGTAAAAGGTATTTTTGTTGCTTAAATTCCGGTTTCCAAGGGCAAAATTTATAACCAGAAAATGTATAAATACAAATACGATAAGATGAATAATATCGTTTCAAAACTGCGTAGTAATTAATTTAAACTCAAAACTTTCAATGATTTTGATTTATTTGTAAAATCTTATACCTTATTTCAATTTTAATGTTTACGTATGATATAAACAGATATGAAGCATACTTAAATTCATTTAATAATTATTTTTAACTGATATGAAAGTCATTTAGTTCCTCACATACCATATCCTTAACTAAACATAATGCATTTAGTTTTAATGAGCCTAAAGTTGTTGGTTTTTCCTAGTATGACCGAGATAAATGTTATATTGTTTTGCCACACTGTGTTCTCATATATCTCCATGAATTACCATTACAGTAATTAATTACCAGGCCATGTTAGACGGATCAGGTGGTTATGATTCCCACGAGGGTTTAACTACACCAAAGCCACCAATCAATTACCGTTTGACTTCGTCAATGTCAATACGTGCGACTTTAAATGATCACTATTATGATCATTGTTGATTCGTGGAAATTCGAAATAAAAAATCAATCGTTCAAAAATGTATTCTAAACCAATCGTGCTGTGAACATTTTAAGTTAAAATTGGAGCAAATAACATAACTTAAACGCCACTGTAAAATTATGTTTTTTACAATTCCCATAGGCCTACATCCGATTTTCACATTTCATACTACGCGTAGAACTTTCCTAATCACCGCTAAGGAATGAATGATGGATAAACTCATTGGTGTTTGGCGGGACTTTAACCCTTGACCTAAGGGACGAAGGCACGATAACCACTAGAGTAGCTTGCTCCCAATCTTTAAAAACCTGACATAAAAATCTAATATAAGATACGTAATTGAGCCATTTTAATAGAGTACTAATGTGCAAACTATATCCCTCCCTTAGTATTGTTATTATTGCTGTAAGAGTTCAGGGGGTTTTAAAATACGGTGCAGTTTCTAGTAAGTTGTACTTTCGGGGAAAACTGACATTGGTACACTTTGTCGTCGTAATTTCAGGAGAAATTGACATTGGTGCACTTTGCCAGTGGGTCAATTTGACGATGTCCGTATTCTAAAACTGGTTACAGGTTTGCCAGTGGAATACTAAGTATACTTCTTTTAGAGTCAGAGCTGTTGGCTGATTAAATGTATTTATCAGTAAACACAAGTTATACACCTTGAAGTAAACACCTTGAATGGATAGATTTAATTTTAATTTAACTGTTAATCCTGGTTATAACTCAGATTTTCAGAGAGTTGTATCTGAATCTATGAGAAACCTTTGATATATGACAAATTAAATTAAATTACAGAACACTGTACTTGTGTAATAACTAATCTGCCACAGTTCTGATCAAAGGCTTAACTCTGATTGATTATTCAGCGTCAATCAAACTGTTCTACAACCGACACAACAGAGCGCTTAACAGCTTTGATTATATGTACGAGTATAACATCTAATAATATTATATCTTGATACGATGGAATCTATCAAGTTACAGAGTTCTTACTTTAGTTATATTCCAAAGGACACATTTTGAATTGGATCGGGATAAAGGATGTAGTCTTCACAATTCTTATTTTACGAATAGTTAACTTATCAAATCATAACCACGTACTTAACTACGTAAACAAATACAATTTCCACCTACTCAATACAAACAACTTCCATAAACTCCTCCCCTTTCTCAAAACACACCCACCTGGCATGATGGAGACGGTCTTCAGAGCCCGAAGGACTCGGAAGGTCCTCAACCCCGCCAGGTTGCCGACGTCCATCCCGATGGTGGCGTAGCCCGAGGTGATCACCACAAAGTCCAGCCAATTCCAGGGGTTGCGCAGGTAAGTGTACTTGTTGAGGATGAACCCCTTGGCGATGGACTTGATTATCATCTCGGCGGTGTAGATGGCCAGGAAAATGTATCTGGAACAAGCATTCTTTTGAGAAAATGGTTGACAATTTAGAATTTTATTTTTTGAAAAAAGTTTGAATAAAAATTGAGATCTTTTGTTAAATTTTTTAGGTTTTGATTTACAGCCAAGAAGTCTTGATCGGCTAACCCTACGCATGCTCTTTAGAACCCCAAATTTACACCTTCTTCAGACTCACTAACCCCAATCGACTTGCCTCCTTACTTTTTTATTGCACGAAGAAAATTCTAATTACTATATTAGATAAATGTAGTAAGTTAGTGGAAAATAGTTCTTCTTTTCAAATATTAAATAAATATATGCTCGTCTCACATTTAATATTCTTTGATATTACAGGTTTAGTAAACCGCAAACGTACAAGCTCAGAGGTTCACAAGTTCCATTACGAGTAAACGACGACAAAATGTGAGCCGAGACTTAGGTCCAAACAATGGTCTAGAGTGGGGCTTTGTGTTGAGGACCAGATCTGGCGAACTTATCCGTATTGACTGAGGCTGAAAGAGGCGTTTTGTGGCGAAACAAACTGTACAATGTCTGCTACATCACCGACAATGTTCTCTACACCTGTAGACAATGTTCCTAAACCACCTAACAATGTTTCCTAAACCACCTAACAATGTTTCCTAAACCATTAGACAATATTCTCTACGCCACAAGACAATGTTTAATAAACTACTAACATCTTTATGTATCTCAAACGTTGGTGAATCTTAATAAATACAATGTAGTTTTTTCCAAAATTTAGTTGTACACTGTATATGGTTAAGACTGGAAACAATTACGATGGTAGAATATGAAAGATAACTCTTATAAATAATGTAAAACGTGTAACCACAGCAGACATAGTTTAGCTATTTTAGCGAATTTCCCTATAGGGAAGTAGCTATTACCGTAGGTCTCATGGTAAGACTTAGGCCCGGGACCGATTTACTTTTTCATTTTAATGTCCCCAGAGGCCAAAAACACCATTCGTTCAAATTTTTATATATGTATATATATATATATATATATATAGGTGTATATATATATATATATATTTATATATATATATGTGTCCGTGAACACGATAACTTGAGTAATTTTTATCCGATTTTGATGAAATTTGGTTTGAAGGTGTAAGGCGGGATAAACTTGAATGAGTTCGCGATCCAGCATGATCGGACCATGGGAACAGGGTTTAATGGGGGGTTTTATGGGGTAAAAATTGGTTTTTCTCACTTCTTACCCTCAAAACAAAAAAATTTCCCAATTTTTCTCTAAACCTTCTTAAAGAGCTTAAAAAAACAAACAATTCAGTATATCAAAGTGTTTTTGTACGGTTATTGGTTACGGAGAAAACTAAAAAAATGATAAATTTAAAATTCCCATGTTATTCTTATGGAGAATATTGTAAAATGTTGTAGTTTGCTTGTTTATGGATATATTTTGATCAAACTTGGCAAATTTATTTATTTTATAGTAAGCTATCAATATTTTACTAAAAACACACTACTTTATTAGTTTCCTTGTAGCAGCAAACCTAGGTACTCGTTAAACCTAATGTTATTTAAATAGATCAATTGAAAATCAATTCGGCCAAATGGAAATTCGCTTAGACGGCAGGTTTGCTGCGGCGGGGGTATTTTTATATTGAGATTTGCCTATTAACTCTGTTTTACAATTTTCATACATAAATTAGATACTTTTTTTAAGACAACCTTATAAAACTAACGTCATGCTACGATTCCAAAGCGTCAAGATATATTCAAACACATACAGCATAGCCATCTTGATCAATATTTAAACTTATTATTTAAGTATTTTGATTTTATCATTTACAAAGTAAGCCACGTAAGAACAGGTTGTTACCTAACAAATCCAGTGTAAACGTTCCACCTTGTATTTAACATGTCAAGTAATACACATACAGAACACACTGCTGCCTTGATCAAATATTAACTTACACGTCAAGTCTTTGGAAACCACACGTCATGTGGTTACAACGAGATCTGTAATACCTTGTTTTAGAGAACACTTTAGTTAGAACTCTACTTTTAGAAAAATCTTAGTAAAAATAAATATATTTTAGTACAATTTGGAAAATACACAGCCAATTAGAACCCCTCCAAATAGACCAATCAACGAATAAAAAACAATCTACACATTATAGCACTGTACACCTTTTTATTCGTTGTGTCCAACAATGACGTTATCCCTTATTAAGAAGTGTGATTTTTTGTTGTAGATAAAACTTCGAAGTTGGTTAAAATTAGGTAAATTATGTAAGTTTGAACATTTCTCCAATATAAGTGGAACAAAATGCTACTCCTAGTGGCCTCAGTTAACTCTGCGCCTATTACGATCTGAGGTCAATCTATCGTAGATATTAGAGCTCTATGTATGCAAGCAGCAATGAAGATCTCTCTGATGTGGTAAACCTGAACTATGATCAAATGGGACCCTCTGTCCTCTTATTTGCCAAACCCCACACAGTATTAGGTCAACATATGATACCTGATATGATTCTGTCAGACAGGAGGGTATCAAATGAAATGATTCTTCAGTGTGGTGGTTGAATAAAAGATTGACAAAGTTATTGAGGGATGGATATATCAGTCTAACACAATTACTTAATTCTGCTAATAAATGAGAACGCTTGTGCATATACCTTTCACGTTGAATAAACGTTGAACACTTTATGTAAATAGAGATTTTCCTAATCTTTTTTGTCTAAAATAATGAACACTTGGTGTTTTAATGTTATTATGGAATGACCTCTGCTTAATTTAAATCAACAACTAAGAGAGAGACATTTAAATTATCACGTAGTTAACATCTACAGCGTTTTCGTGCTACGGATGGAGCATGACCTCCTCTCAGACCGCGACGAGACAGATGTGGCAACGCCGCACCCACGGCCTATGAAGCTGCTGCACTAATAATGGGGCGTCTGCGCTATGTTACCATGGCAATATGCCGCCGGCCGGTGCGACGTTGCCACACCTCCGCGACTTTGTGTTAGAAGAGGTTATGATGGAACCATGGCGTATCTAAACCATGTTGACATTCTAACCTAACCTAACCCGATATCGCTGTAGTCGTTGTGAACCCTGGCATCGATTTGAAAATTTAAGCCTCTTTTAGTTAGTTTACTTAAATTAAAAAAATATACCACCACGAAACTGACAACACAGTTTATGATCAAACGATGAGTAAATGATGAAATGTGCTATAAAAAATAAATTGTACTTTTTTTGAAGATTAACTTATAGAACAGGAACAGGGTTGATACGAGGGAGGAAGTTTGGAAGTAACCTGTCAAACGGTTGATGGAGGATTTCCGTCGATCCTTCATACGAATCGTTCCTCTTGAAAAATATTAGATCTACACGAGACTATTTACTTTAAGTGGTTCTGTGTTGCTGGAATGTCTTTTGTTCGAGAATCACATTATCTTTTGAAATATGTCTTATCTAAAAGTTTTTTCAGTTTCCTTTTCGTTGTGACGTTAACAATATTACTTAATACTGAAATAAAAACACATTTAAAAATAAACGGTATCAGCATTCTGACACATACTTTCTCCCATAAGTTTGTCAACAACCTTTATCATGTGTAAGCGGTGAGAGTACGGAAATGGGATTTGTACAATTTTCTTCAGAATTTAAAGGACTATAACATACTAAATTTTTATCAAAATCGTTCGAGCCAATTTTGGGAAAATCTTTTTTTCCGTTATTTTATGGGAAAATAACATAATTTACAATAACTTTTGAACCGTAATTTTTACAGAGATGGGATTTGTACCATTTTGTTCAGAATATAAAGAACTATAACACACTAAATTTTTATAAAAACCTTTTGGGCCATTTTTGGAAAAATCCTATTTTTCCGTTATTTTATGGGGTTTCATGGGAAAATCCCCATTAAAAATAAAAATGAAAAAAAAAAACTATCAAAATTGTAAGGACTATAACATACTATGTTAAATCGAAACCAAGTATTTTAGATAACGGAGGAAGGGAGGGATTTAACATTATGTTTAATAGGTACAAAGAATTGGTTATACATCTTCGCAAAAAGAACATTCTATAACATCCTGAGAAGAAAATTTCAAGAGCTGGTATTGACAACATCAACAGAAAAATCCTGTAATCTCACACGCTACTGACCCTACGTAACTGTTGCTATAGTCTGTATAATGGAACCTGTCTCGAGACCCTCTCCTTAACTGGAGACTTACCAATGGCTTAAGGCCCGGGCTAATCCCAGGTAGACGAAGGGTCAGGAGACAGGTTCCAAAGTAGAGAAACCAGTGACTATGATGAAAATGTTGTACAGTATGACATTAGTTTGTGTTTGAAAATTGGGATGTTTGAGCTAGTCAAACTTTGGTTTTGGTCCTTTTTGTATCCAAAAAACATGTTTAGGTTCCTTAAGGTTGAGTGGGGGACATGTTTATTTAATCATTGTTAGACTAACGGTTTGTCTGGATTAATAGTGGACATCAAACCAGATTCACCAAAGATAAGTTTGCAAAGGATGTTGGTTGTATTTGTTAGATAACTTCTTGGTCAGCATCGTACGTACTATTAAATTACCTGAAAGCACAAAAATACGTCAAATAACACTTGTGATAGTATATTTACACTTATACGGTTTACTCACAAGACGGTAAATACATTATGAAAGATGGTGAGAGGAAATCGATTTCGATTGGACACTCCAATCATCATCAGACAAAATGTGCCTCCGATGATGATCGGAGTGCCCAACTGAAATCGATCCCCACTTACCATCTGTTATATGTATTTACCGTCTTGTGAGCAAACAGTATAAGTGTAAATATATTGCAAGTGTTATTTGACGTATTTTTTGTATTTGTTGTATTGCGAAGGATGTTTTGTTGGCTGTATTTGTATACAAGATTGACCACATAGCGATAAATCGAGAAGTTGCAACGTTCCAAGTTTGCTTCTCGGTCAAGACGTCCCAAGGGGACAGTTGTGGGAC